TCGAAATGCAGCTCACAAAGAACTGAGGTTGCTTCCAGTGGTTTGTCCGCACGTGGCACTGCTCGCTGCCAGGCTTTGAAGCGTTCAGGGTCTTTGGGCACAGAAAACAACGACACTTGCCGACCGGACTTCCTCGCAGAGATGTAGCCCGAAGAACATCCGGGCGCGAAGCAGTGCGTCTGCGACGCTTTCCGTTTCACGCCAGAGCTCATTGCGCTTTAGATCACCGCACTCGGTACTGACTGGAAATAAGTTTGTGCGACATACTTGTCACACAAAAAGCAACGAACTCAGCCTGTAAGGCACAAAGAAACACGTGCGCGAAACGGTAAACAAACGACGGAAGAAACAGCGCCAACCCCCTCGCTTCGCTTTCGACAGGCATCGAAGAGCTGGCCGGAGCGCCACCCTGGCTACCGCGGCCGTGTCATGAAACGACGAATCGCTTTCCTTGCGGCGGCGCATGGGCGCTGACGCCACCTCCCCCTTATAGCCACCATATAAACAAGCCGGGACACCATTTTGCATTTTTTGTTGGAGTGCTGGAGTTCCTGCTGCAAGATTTTCTTTCTCAGTGCTTGTTTCTTATTTATGCGACCAGCGCAATGGCGACTTGTCGTTGCCACTACGATGCAGCCTTCAAGAGGAAAGTCATAGCAGAGGCGGAAGCCACTGGAAACTGCGCGGCGGGTTGAAAGTTCGACGTTCCGGAAAACAACGTGCGTCGTTGGCGCAAACAGAAGACGGCGCTCTTAGCATGCGCCGCTACGAGGAAGGCTTTCCGTGGCCCGCGAAAGGAAGCGTTTCCCGAAGTGGAAGAAGTGCTGACGGACTCTGTCAAAGAGAGAAGATGTCAAAGAGAGAAGATTTGAGCTATTGCTGGAATAAACAGTGGTGTGTATCTCGCCAGTTAGAGGTCACTTACACCAGATTGCGCTGTGCAGTTGCACAACTAAATTATTACCTTAATAAAGATCGGCTCAAGGCGTCACCGCTATGCATTTGGGCAACGAAATTGAAACAATTGAACATTTTTTATTCTGTCATCGTTATTCTTATCAGAGAAAAAGATTTTTAGTAGCCCCTTTACAAAGCTAGAAATACAAGTAAATCTACCAGTAATTTTATCACTTGGCAGAACTTCATTTGGTTACTGCCACAGGGATGTATGCTCCGCTGTGTTTGATTACATCAACGCAACTAAAAGATTACCATGCTAGTGAACCCCTACCTTTTCAGATCTTTAGTTTACAATTCGTAGTTATGTCTTTCAAAAACAAAAGATGGTTTGACCGCTTGCTCAGCAAATATTTTTGCTTTTTTGTAGTATTATTTTAAGCTACTTTTTCAGATTGGTTTCATTTTCATTTTAGTTTCATTTAAGTATCCTGCCGCCCGGTTCTTGGCCCATCCCCCTTTGTCGGTAAGCGCCATCCATCAGAGGTCATCAGCATCAGAAGATGCCGCGGTTTGGCCGTTACTGCCGGCATCGTGCAGATGAAGGCGCGCGAAATCGCGAGAGAGCGTGGCATCCCCGCTCTCAAGTTCAAAGCCAGCCGGGGCTGGGTGCAGAAGTTCATGAAGAGGACCGGGTTTTCGTTGCGAAGGCGGACCTCCGTGATGCAGAAGTTGCCAGAAGACTACGAAGAAAAACTAATTTCTTTTCAAAGATATGTTATCGGCCTGCGACGCGACCACGACTTCCTTCTCGGGCAGATTGGCAATGCCGACGAAACTCCAGTTTTTTTTTTTTGACATGCCGTCGGCCTAGACAATTCACCAAAAAGGTGATCGCCAAGTGATCCTGCACAGTACAGGTAACGAGAAGGCTCGGATAACCGTGATGCTAATGGAGGCGGAAATGTTGTAGGCCCGTGTGCTCAGATTTGGGTGCCTGTTAAAGAACCCTAGGTGGTCGAAATTTCCGGAGCCCTCCACTACGGCGTCTCTCATAATCATATGGTGGTTTTGGGACGTTAAACCCCACATATCAATCAATTTACCGTGATGTTAGCCTGCACCCCCGATGGGCAAAAGTTACCCCCCCCCCCCCCCTACATCATCCTGAACAGAAAGACCATGCCAAAGAACGAGGTGTTCCCGCAGAACGTCCACATTCGTTGCCAGGAGAAGGGGTGGATGACGGGAGAGCTTGTTCTGGACTGGGTAAAGTCGGTGTGGTGCCGAAAACCTGGGGCACTGCTCGCCCGAGGTCAATGCTGGTCCTCGACGCATTTCGCGGGCACCTCACGGAAGGTGTGAAGAAGCTCATCGACAACCGGACGGAGCTGGTCGTCATCCCGGGAGGCCTGACAAGCCAACTAAAGCCGCTTGATGTTTGCGTTAACAAGCCGTTTAAGGCACACGTCAGACGGCTGTACAATGAATGGATGGCGTCTGACACTGTGGCCCTGACGCCGTCGGGACGTATAAGCGGGCGTCCCCATCCATGCTCGCCCAGTGGGTGGTCGACGCTTGGGCAGCGATCCCCGAAGCCATGGTTGCGGCATCGTTCCGCAAGTGCTGCATTCAAATGCTCTTGACGGCACCGAGGACGACGACTTCTTTGAGTGCGCAAGTGATAAGGAAGATTCCGATACCACCACCTCTGAAGATGGTTGCTAAGTTGCTCTCTCGTCTCGCTCCGAATAAATATCTTTGTGTGTTTCTAAGTTGCACTTTCGTCTCGCTCCGAATAAATATCTTTGTGTACAGATAGTTCATGAATATTTGGTGTCTCCTTTGCTGAAAGGTAAGGAATTTAGTTGCCTTTTTTCTTTCGTTTCTTTCGCCCTATATTAGTGTGCAAACTTTTTTTCTTTTTCTTGGGTCCTTCAACTTCCCCCTCGCCGTGTAATCGTGACCGCCTCATATTCGAATAAATACGGTACGTTTATTCACAAATCATAGGACATCCGTCATTAATTGAAGTAATCGGTGATGCGCGTCTGCACACGTTTGCCTTGCAGTGGGTCAATTTCACACGCAGTTTGCAAAGCATTTTTACTTCGGCTTCAGCGTTCTCCTGGCAAGAGAAGTATCGCGCGGCTGAGTCCAGCGCCAACACCCTCTTTGACGACGGCAACCACTGCGTCTCCGCTGCTACCCTCTGCTCCGCAGGCGGAGCGTCGCCAGTACATGATGAGAAAGTTCACGTGGGGGGAGGAGCAGATTGGCATTTGAGAGAGAACCAACACTCCATGGCAGCTTGTGTGGGTTTTTTTTTTTCTTTTTTTTTTGTTTTCCGCGTAGAGGAAGCGTGGCATCGGCGCGTCGCAGATCAGCGAGCCACCACTCCGCGACACCTTTTTTTTTCCCCTTTATCTCTTTGCACGCGGCGTTGAAAGGAGGAGGGTCTTTACGTGGCAGGGACAGAAAAGGGAAAAGCATGACACAGGTGCGTCGCAGATCGGCATTTGAGTGAGAGCAAATATTCCGCCGCAGCCTTTTCTTTTCTTTTTTTCCTTCTTAGCGCGTAGCAATGAGGTGTCAGAGGTGCTGTCGCGAAATTGGGTGTGGTACTGAGTGCATTTTTAGAGCGCGGTATGTTCGAATTAACCGTCGCAAGTGCTTGCACGTTCGAATTATAAGGCGTTTTCGCCCAATGGAATATGGCCCCACCACGGTGGTCTAGTGGCTGAGGTACTCACTCGGCTGCTGACCCGCATGTCGCGGGATCAAATCCTGGCTGTCGCGGCTGCATTTTTGATGGCGACGGAAATGTAGGCCCGTGTACTCAGATTTGGGTGCACGTGAAATAACCCCAGGTGGTCGAAATTTCCGGAGGCCTCCACTACGGCGTCTCTCATAATCATATGGTGGTTTTGGGACGTTAAACCCCACAAATCAATCAATCAATCAGCCCATTGGAATACACATAACTTTGACGGGACCACAGCGCGAGTCGAATTAACTGGAAGTTCTAATTAAGCGTGTTCAAATCAATGAGATTCGATTGTATTAGGTTATTTATCCTACTGTGTATCATCATGGGATTACACATGTGCCGATCATTTCAGGCCACTGTAGCATCTTCAGAAGCAGGCGATAAAATCACTTATTCTGTTGCCATTGCCTACTTATGTGTCAACAGTTTTGCATCCTACCAATTCTCAGCTCCCGATATACATTATCTCATGCATTGAGAAATATCGCTAGGTAGTATCTCTTACCATACACTCATCAACGAGGATAATGCCAGGTTTTTGTAGCATACTAACCTTCTTTTACTTTAAATCAGATCGCACTACGGCAGATTTACAGCTCGCTTCTGTGGTGTTCATCTATAGAATCGCATCCCTTGGCATGTAAGTCACCTTGTTCATCGCAGCCTTTCAGATGCAACATGAAAAAACATACTGTTAGATAAGCTTTTTGTTCATTTGTGACAAAAACATTTTTTATTATTACTTCATTATTCTGTATTCGGCTTATGTGCATTTTGGAGCATCGTGTATTGTTGTTTTGGTAGATATATAACTTAATCTATTTTACTTTGCATTGTTTTTATTGAATGCATTTTTTATTTCTTTTAGCAGTTGCAGCTATTGATTATCTTTCATGTATCCCGCTAATGATAGGGGACCCCCGGACAGTTTCAAACTTTGAGACACTCCTGATGCTGTATGTATTATGTAAGACTGTATTTGAATGTGCAGTAACAACAAATAAACTTCAATGTGGCATAAATATGCACAAAGTACAAATATTTTCAGTGTGTTGTTAATTTGTGTAAAAATTAAATAGCAGTACAGTCTGCTCTGTGTATGTGACCTGCATGCTCTGAGATTGTGTGCATTTGTGTGTGAAGTTCTCACAAAAAACTATAGAAATGAAAGTAGTGCATTGAAACTTGTTATCTTTTTAAATGCTGTTGTTGCAGTCCTCCTGATGAGTGCATTTTAAATAGAATTAGGTGCATCTTTGTGCTTGAATATATTATTTAATCAATCCTGGTACTTACTAGTGGTACCAAAAAAAATTTCATCTTCTTCATGTAGCCTCTCCACATTACCTGGGTCTTACAAGATTCAGCCACGCAGTATAGAGGAGTATGAACCTGGTCATTCATCGATTGCGGAGAGGGAGGCAGCTTTTGTGAGTATCTTCTGGTTTTCTCTGTCTAGGTATCGCTGCCTTGCAGTGACCATAAAGACCATCTCAAATACAACACAGCCTTAACTGTCCAAACTCCAGCAATATCCCCGGGGGTTTGGCATCACTGCAGGCAATCACTGTTATGCAGTAACGCTGTTGATTCATGCACTTTATAAAGAAAGCAGTGCTTTCATCCAAAAGGCAAGCAATGATGGGAATGATGAGATACAATTAAACCTCAATGAATCGAACTACACTGTACAGTGGCCTCTCGATGTGTTTTTCATGGGAACCAAAAAATAAAATGTATTATACAAAAATATGCGTACTCTGTCCACAACTTGCTTTGAGTGATGCAACATCAAAATAGCTGGTCGATTTGCACTGCAATTTCTTCTTTTCAACATCCAGAAATAAATTGTTCTGAAAGCTAGAAAAAAAAAAGTGCAGTTTGCTCCTCAGCTTTGTATTCAGGACAAAGCTGCAAAGTGTGTCCAAGTGTTCGAGTGCATTTCTTGCTATTGCCAGCTATCTTTTTGCCTACTGATAATGCTGCGTCCTCAACGGCTCTGTAACTTGCAGATTGTGGCTTGAATGAATTCAAGTCGCTCTTTCAAGGAAGCAATGCCTTCTCTAATTGCTTGCTGGCCAATTACTAACGATCGGAACATTTCCTCGACACAGGCGCCCGGATTCTCTTCGACATCACCACAAAGTAAAAGCTTGCATGAAAATAAGCAGTCATAAGCAATACTCAAGCACACACGTGGGCATGGCAATAAAATCAGGTATCTGTCATCACTGCGTATTGTGCTATTGTAACTAACCTGAACAAGAAAAACGAGACGCATGGTCGGTGATCTGCTCCCAGCGTTTTCGCCGTGCCCACTGGCAAGTCTGTCCTGCAATGCCTTCATTATAGAGGCTGGTTCCGTCGACGTCGCGAACCCGTAACTCTTGCTCCTTGCGTCAAAAAACGTTGGAAGGAGCCATGCAGCCTTGCCGTCGATGTCGCATGTTGTCGCTGCTGGAAACGGCTTGAATGCGGGCGCATTGAAGAAGGAGGCGGATGTCAGGAACAAGGCCTGAACCAGAAAAACGAGACGCATGGTCAGTGATCTGCTCTAAGCGTTTTCACCGTGCCCATCCTTGCCAGACTGCCACCAGATTTGGCGCAGAAATTTGTACCTGTAGTTGCGACTTCTCCGTAAGGGTTTAGTGTCGTTCGCGGTGCATTTCGCGAGTTCGTGAGCGACGTTGGCCGTTTTAATTAACAGAATGAACGTAAAACACGCGTTGCAAAAGTCGGGGTGCGTGCTCTTGCTGCGTGCGCTGCTGTGCGATTAAGAGATCGTGTCTCAGAGTTAGGAATCGACGCGTCGTCCGTCATGCATTTCGCGGTGCACAGCTAGAGAACCCGTCTCGACTTGTGCAACGTGTGTTTTACGTTCATTCCATTAATTAAAACGGCCAACATCGCTCACGCACTTGCGAAATGCACGGCGAACGACACCAAATCATCACGGAGAAGTCACAACTACAGGGGCAAATTTTTCAGCCAAATCTGGCGGCAGTCTGGCAAAAACCACCCCAAACTCTGGCAACTGAGGTATACAACACCAAACAGAACCTTGCCAACATTTTGATCACAGTAACCCAGGAAGCACATGGCAGTGCGCAAGTAGACGAGTCGGCATTGTGCGAGTTCGTCGTATGCACAAGAGCAAGCTATATATTGATACACAACAGCCGGCACAGCCTTGCTGCAAGAAAGAGAAAGACGTCGGTTTCTGGTTGTTGATGAACTGTCGCCATCTTGTTCACCGAGCACGGTACTTGGCCACCTCGTCGATGCCGCAGGAGTTCGCCCGGATCCCGAGAAAATTCGCGCCATCACGGACTTTCCTGTTCCGAAGTCAACAAAGGACGTTCGTAGTTTTGTGGGCTTGTGCTTCTACTTTCTACGGCTTGTTAAGGATTTCGCGATCATTGCACGCCCACTCACAAAACCTCCTGAAGAAGGACACCCCGTTTTTCTGGGGCGCTGATCAGCCTCATCTTTTTCCCAGCTCGCGATGCTCCTTACAACACCACCGATTTTTAGCTCATTTCGATCCATCAGCTCCAACCGAGATTCGCACTGACGCTAGTGGGCACGGCATAGGGGCAATGCTTTTGCAACACCAACGCGGATATGACCGTGTTATAGCATATGCAAGCCGACTGCTATCTACCGCCAAGCGCAACTATTCAATCACGGAGCGTGAGTGTCTCGCTCTTGTGTGGGCAGTCGCGAAGCTTCGCCCATACTTATATGGGCGTCCATTCAGGGTAGTCACCGACCACCACGTGCTCTGCTGGCTGGCCTCACTCAAGGATCCCACAGGACGCCTCGCTCGTTGGTCCCTACGTTTACAAGAATACACGTTCACCGTAACCTACAAAACAGGGCGGTCGCATCAAGATGCGGATTGTTTATCACGCTACCCTGTGGAAAAAGCTGCCCATACTGACACCTTTCCAGACGTTCTGTCTGTGATGCAGCTACTCAACCTTGGCCACGAACAACGCCGGGATGCTTTCCTGCGAACCATCATTGACAAGCTTGAGTCAATGCCTCGCGACGCATCTCTACAAATGTTCCTGGTCAAAGACGGGATCCTGTATTGCCGTAACCTCGATCCATATGGCCATGACTTGCTCCCCGTCATACCAGCACATCTTCATGCGACTGTCCTCAACCAACTTCATGACGCTCCTTTGGCGCGCCGATTGGGCGTATCTCGCACATACGATCGTGTTAGTCGTCGTTTCTTTTGGCCTGGTCTTGCCCGTTTTGTTCGATGCTACGTCGCCGCTTGTGATCTCTGCCAGCGCTGCAAAAAGCCATCCTCCCTACCAGCTGGATTCCTTCAGCCGATCGACATTCCCACTGAACCTTTTTTTCGAGTTGGCCTCGACCTGCTTGGCCCATTCCCAATCTCCAGCTCAGGCAACAAATGGATTGCTGTCGCCATGGACGGTACGCTATCACACGAGCACTTCCGACGAGTTACACAACCGATGTGGCGGACTTTCTTGTAAATGATATTATTTTAAGTACACGGAGCTCCACGCCAACTTCTCACTGACCGGGGCCGGACTTTCCTATCAGCTGTCATTGATGAAATCCTGCACTCTTGCTCTGCCAAGCACAAGTTTGCCACTTAGTACCATCCGCAAACGAACAATTACGTAGCGGCCAACCACCAGGACTGGGACATTCATTTGCCATTTGTGACGTTCGCATATAATTCGTCATGTCACGACACTGCCGGCTATTCTCCACTCTATTTTCTATACGGCCGAGAACCCGCCCTGCTGCCCTTTGACACCTTGCTGCCCTCGGTCTCTGAGTATGCCGGCGAAGTCATTGCGCGAGCCGACCACGCACGCCAACTCGCCCGCAGCCGTCTGCAGGCCTTACAGGAGCACCAAAGACAGCTCTACGATTCCCATCATTGAAACGTGAACTTTTCACCAAGTTCCCTTGTCCTCCTCTGGTCCCCCACTCGGCGTGTATGTCTTTCTGAAAAACTGCTGTCACGCTACACTGGACCATACCGCGTTGTTCACCAAGTGACTGATGTTACATACGAGATCGTTCCAGCCAATCCAACGTCATCGTCACCTTCGAGTGACATCGTGCACATAGCTCAACTTAAGCCTTATCACCTTCCTTCTACCGCATCCAAGTTGCTCAAGCACCGAGATGGTGCTTCTACCAACGGGGGGTTATGATACACAACAGCCAGCTCAGCCTTGCTGCAAGAAAAAGAAAGACGACGTCGGTTTCTGGTTGTTGATGAACTGTCGCCATCTTGTTCACCGAGCACGGTCTATCATATATAATTTAATAAATAAGTTACTCGTAACATTATTTTGATTGCAGTGACGCTTGAAGCTCAGGCCAGTGGGCAAGTAGACGAGCCGGCATTACCAAAGTTCGAGGTATGCGCGAGAACAAGCTATATATTTTGATCGCAGTGACCCTTGAAGGACAGGCCAGTGCGCAACTAGACGAGTCGGCAAAGGCAAAGTGTAATGTATTATTATTTTTTTGTTTCCCCCCCTATAATAATGCCCCTTGGGTGCTCTCAGTATCTGAATGAATAAATAAAGCCACACTGGTCGAACTCACTGCACCCACTGCTGATCTTCGAAGTAAAACGCATGCAGGGCTTCACCTGCCAGTCCTTTGCTTACATCGGTGGCTCTGCTGCCTTACCGTAGAGGTTGCGCTTCATTGAAAACTATGACGAGCACATTTCATCGTCTTCACCAGTCTGTCTACGCCCACTGCAAGGCAAAGGCCTCTCTAGTGATCTTCCAATCAACCCGGTCTCGTGCTTTCCGTTGCCAGGTTATCCCTGTGAACTTTTTAATCTCACTGGCCCACATAGCCTTCTGTCTCCCCTTCAGGCGTTAACATTTTCCGGGAATTCAGTCAGTTACCCTTAATGGCCAGGGATTATCCTGCCTACGTGCTATGTGCCCGGCCCATTTCCATTTCTCCTTCTTGATTTTAACTATGATGTCCTTAACCCCGGCTTGTTCCCTGACCCACTCTGACCTCTTCTTATCTCTTAAGGTTACACCTATCATTTTCCTTTCCATTGCTAATTTAAGCTGAACCCTCTTTTTAAGCCTCCAGGTATCTCCTCCGTAGGTAAATACTGGCAAGATGCAGCAGTTTATACATTCCTCTTGAGGTTCGGTGACCGATTATCATTCATGGTTTCAGAATGCTTGCCAAATGTGATCCACCCCATCCTTATTCTTCTAGTTATTTCGCTCTCATGGTTCTGCTCCGCAGTTACTACCTGTCCTAAGTAGACATATTTCTTTACAACTTCCAGTGCGTCTCTACCTACCGCTAAGTGCTATTTACTGCTGAGGCTGTTTCACATTACTTTAGTTTTTTGTATATTAATTTTAAGATCTACTTTTTTGCTTTCCGTGTCCAGTTCAGTAATCATAAGCTGTAATTTTTCCCATTTGTTACTCATCAAGGCGATGTCATCAGTGAATCGCAGGTCACTAAGATACTCTTCATTAACTCTTATTCCTAACTCTTCCCTATCTAGGGTCCTGAAAACCTCCTGTGAACACTCGGTGAATAGCATTGGAAAGATTGTGTCTCCCTGCCTCACACCCTTTTCATTGAGATTTTGTTGCTTTATTCATGGAGAAATATGGTGGCTGTGGATCCAATGTAGATTTATTCCAGTATGCTTATGTAGGGTTCTTTGATGCCCTGATTCCGTAGTGCCTGCATTACTGCTGATGTCTAGGCTGAGTCAAATGCCTTCTCATAATCTATGAAGGCTATGTATAGGGGTTGGTTGTATCCTGCACATTTCTCTATCACCTGATCGATAGTACAGTCGCCGACCGATTTTTTGTACTCCAAAAATTCGCACTTGTTAGATATTTTGGACTTCGAAAGTGCACTGTCAGGGTTCCCATAGGGTTAATTCATTTTTTTCGATTGATTTTTCAAACGAAAGTTGTATTTTTCGGACTAAATCGCTTGTCTTGAGCTGAGCCTCGAACCTGTATGAACGCCGCCATGTTTGATTTTCCGCCGGCTTGACTAAGCTTAGTGGCTTAATTTTAAAATGGCTTTTCTGCCCCCGAGATAGGAAAGCAAACGTCATATTTCAAGTTTTGGAGGCTGTATCTGCTTTAGACAAAGCGGCATGGGACTATTTTTTGTCTTCAGTCAGCCATAGTGGTCATCGCTGTCGTCATCGCACCGCACAGGAAGGAGGCGGAGCTGCGCAGTGGTGAAGTGAATGTGCCTGCCACAATGACATTAGGGAGTTTTAGAATAGCGCACCGAGAGCCCTTGCGGTGCGGTCGCTGCCACTGCGCATGCGTCGCAACGCGAGTCGCCGTTCGCGGCCCGCCCGCAGAAAATCCGAAATAGCGTGCGGCGATCGCAGCCCGCGAGGCCCGCGAAGTGTTGTCTGTAGCTTTCATGTATTTGAGTTTGCGGTAGGGGCGAAAGTCCTTAAACTTTTCCCTAGGGGGAGCAAACTCTAATCTAAATCTCGTAATGCGTCCGCTATACCCACAACGCCTGCAGTGCCTGGAAACGTAGTTTTAAAACTCCCTATTTAAAGATTTCGCTCGTGGCGACGATGAAAATTTCGTGCTTGGAGCCCACAGATGAAGAAATTCGCCAGGTTGTGCCGCAGCCGGAGAGCGGTTTGGTTGATGACGACGATGATCGCCCGCAGCTGTCTGCAGCGGAGATCGCCACTGCAGTGACACTTTTGTCGAGCATTTACGGTGACGATGTCACCTTGGCACAAATATGGGTGAACCAAATTGCTTCCAAGCGTAGTACGAGGCAAGGCAGAATCATGGACTTTTTTTTAGCCTGCCTGACGCAATAAAGTTCATATTTCTGAAAAAGGGAATTTGATTGTCGAACTGTTTAATTTTTCAGACTTTTTTTCCATACCCACCAGGTCCGAAAAATCGGTCGGCGACTGTATGATTATGGTCTATTTTGGAGTAGCCTGTACGAAATCCTGCTTGGTTCTTTGATTGATTGAACTCTAATGTAGTCTTAATTATCATCATCATCAGCCTGACTACGTTCACTACAGGACAAAGGCCTCTCCCATGTTCCGCCAGTCAACTCGGTCTTGTGCTTGCTGCTGCCAATTTATACCCGCAAACTTCTTAATCTCATCTGCCCACCTAACCTTCTATCTCCCCCTAACTCGCTTGCCTTCTCTGTGAATCCAGTTAGTTACCCTTAATGACCAGCAGTTATCTTGTCTACGCACTACATGCCTGGCCCATGTCCATTTCCTTTTCTTGATTTCAACTATGATATCCTTAACCCCCGTTTGTTCCCTAATCCACTCTGCTCTCTTCTTGTTTCTTAAGGTTACACCTACTATTTTCCTTTCCAATGTACGTATGCATGTGGGAGGTGGTGGCCAGCTACTGCACCAGGGTGGCCAATCCTTCTCTGGTGAGCGAGTGCATTACCGGCGGTGGTCACCAGTGAGGCCACACCCCAGGCCTCTTAATGCAGTTCCATCACCACGCAGATTTATTATTTTTTTAATCTAGTTGGGAACTGCGCAATACCGGGATTCGAACCACGGACCTCTTGCATATGAGGCTAATTCTATGAGCTATTATTTTTGTAAATAGTTTGTAGAGAATGGACAGTAAGTTGATTGGCCTGTAATTTTTCAACTCCTTGGTGTCTCCTTAATCTCTTATGAATTAAGATGATGTTGGTATCCTTCCAAGATTCTGGTACCCTTCCTATCACAAGAGACTTCTTATATAAAATAAGGTGGCCAGTTTTCTAACACAATTTATTCATCATCTTTCAAAAGATCTATTATCTTCACCAGTGGTTTTGTACTTTCCTGTACTTTCACTTTCACTGCTAGTTCAATAATTGGCTTCTTGTAAAACAGTTTTGTCTTTGCTTTTTAAAATCTAGGTGAATATGAGCTGTTACCATTCTATGGTCACTGCATCTAATCTTGCCAATTTCTTCTACATCCTGTACAATGCCTGGGTGTGCGCACAGAATGAAGGCTATTTCATTTTTAGTTTCACCATTAGTACTTTGCCACACCCACTTATGGTTTTAGCTCGTGTTCTGAAGAAGGTGTTCAAGATCCCCAAGTTACGTTCTGTGAACGCTACTAATAACTTCCCTCTGGATTTTTTACAGCCGATGCCATTATCCTCCACTTCATGGTCTCCGGCCTGTTTCTTGTCAACTTTGGCATTAAAGTCACCCATCAGAATAGTATACTGTGACTTTACTTTATTAACGGCTGACTCTACGTCTTCATAGAAGCGTTTAACTAAATTATCATCATGGCTGGATGTAAGCACTTAGGGCTGTACCACCTTCATCTTGTACCTTTTGTTAAACTTAATTATGATACTTTCCACCCTCTCACTGATGCTATAGTACTTATCTACGTTGCAAAGGATATTCTTGTGTATAAGGAACCCCACCTCTAGTTCTTTTCTGTCAATTAATCTGCGGTAGCATAGGACATGTCCGTTCTTCAGCTCTGTATAAGCCTCGCGTGTTCTCCTAACATCGCTAAGCCCTATAATATCTCATTGAACACCCTCTGATTCTTCAATTGGGACAGCTGGATAAGCCTCACTAGATAGCAATCTAGCATTGAAGGTAGTCAAGTTCAGATTCCAATAGCGGCCTGCCTGGACCCACATATTCTTGGCACCCTCCGCTGTGTCGCAGGTCTTACCACCACCTTGGACAGTTGCTTCGCAGCCACTGGGGACCGAGGACTAAAGATTAATTGCTTTATTTATGGGAGGTAGTGGCTAAGTACTGCACCAGGATGGCCAATCCTGCTCTGGTGAGGAAGTGCATTACTGGAAGCTGGTCGCCAGTGAGTCCGCACTCCAGACCTCAAGTTTTTTTTTTTTTTAACAATACCTTAAGCACGCATTTTAAATAAATGTACGATTGGGAATGGTCTGGTATATGCATTTGAACCCAACTTTGTCATTCCCTGCTAGGTTGCTGCGCTATCTCTAAGCAGGGGTCTGTTGCACTTTCTTGGATAGCACCTGACCGCCCACTAACTCTCAACTTCATCTGACTCGCCCCGCCACGGTGGTCTAGTGGCTAAGGTACTCGGCTGCTGACCCGCAGGTCGCGGGATCAAATCCCGGCTGTGGCGGCTGCATTTCCGATGGAGGCGGAAATGTTGTGGGCCCGTGTACTCAGATTTGGGTGCACGTTAAAGAACCCCAGGTGGTCAAAATTTCTGGAGCCCTCCACTACGGCGTCTCTCATAATCATATGGTGGTTTTGGGACGTTAAACCCCACATATCAATCAATCACTTTGAAAAGCCTGCTTTGCCGCTCCGCCTTCGGTGAGTACGAACCTTTAGTGAGAGACCGTGAAGTGCACCACGAAGACACTTGCCATTGCCGCATGCGTGTGCAGTTAGGAATAGAGTGACCATCACAAACACTTTCATGACAAATGCGTGCGTACAGTACTATTAGGGTTTAGGCATGCAGGTCAGCTGTAATTGGTGATCTGCTGCACACAACTAGGAATGATCGGCTTTATGCTGCATATTTGCAGAGACTCGGCGTACATGCATCAGTGAAAGCCTGGCGAGTCATCCAATCTTCTGCCACAGTGATAATTTACAAACATTCCATGCGAAAGAGCCGCAGTCTATTCCGTGCTTTGCTGCTATCAGTGGCGCTACTCACGAGACTCAAATTTATGTAGTTAAGCAGGGTTCACGGCAGGTACTGGATGTATTCACAAGAGCTTGGTTGGGCACCAAAATGCCCGATATATGTTCTGGGAAAAAGCTAATTTGGACATAGCTGTGCTGATCTGACTGTTTGAGCGAATAGAAGTGCGTTAATTTGTTCACTTGAGCGAATAGAAGTGCATGAATTTGTTATTCCAAACTTCCCAATTTTTTTAATGATATTGTAGAATGATTTTGTTATTAACGGGTGGTGGTCTATTTTCTCTTTCTTAAGCTTTCTGCCACCTTGCGGGTTACCACGGAACTCATTTGCATTAGTTCCTAAAAAGTTCGAAGAGTTCGAATAGTAAAGTTTCAGTGTGAATCGAATTGAGCAGCAACCGCTGTTCGCAATGTATTCATAGATTCAAATATTCACATATTTCTAGTGTGAAGCAGAATCATATTAATGACATTTCACTGTAATAAAATTTTTCATAAAATAATGTGCTTTGATATCACAACACCCGTTTACTTCGTCATATTGATGCCTCATTAAATTTAAGTTCCAACTTCATTTACAAATCATTAGTGATAAAAGTTCCTTTATATGATAGGTGTGGAAAGCATATTCAATTGACTGAATAGTAAGGAAAAGACTGATTTCAGTAATGTAAATTTTTTTGAACTACTCTATTTTCTTCTTCCTTTCTTTTCTATAATTTGCCCTCTCAACTTGAAGTTTTCTTTTACTGTTTTCTTTTAGACATCTCGGTACTTGCCTCCTCTGGATACCCCCAAGCCAAAGTAGTAAGTACAGTACAAATTTCATTGGTAAATTTACCTGATAAAATAATTACTGTACTCTATCTGCTCTGAAAATTTTTCTGTGAGGCTAGGTCAAAGGAGCTGCTTTTTCACTCTGAAATTATTGGGTCGAAGCTGGCTGGGCAGTTCTGGTGATAATTTCATAGAAGTTTTGAGAAGCCTGTGTAAAAAACTAGATTTTTAAATGAGGAGCGGAAATGTTGAGCCTAACATATAAATTCTATTTTTGTGAGCAGGAGGTAGATTTAACCTTCAAGGCAAGATCCAGAGCATTTGCTCATGAATTTCTATATTTGGTGGGGAGAGGTACTTTGACAGCTGGCATTTTGTGGTATCTGCATGTGGAAACTATCTACCAGGAAGTGCCAGCAAAAAAAAAAGCAATCCTTCTTCACTTGACCAGAGCAAGCATGGTCTGCCTCTTTGTCTTGGTTGCTTGCACGGTTTGTTTTAGAGAGTCTGCATCTTAAATTTCACTTCTGCCATCATATCGAGGAAGCTGCATGTGGTGCGCTTGATCAAGAATATATTTGTGCTCAAGGCAGTTTTGCGTTCCTGTCAAACGTGTCCTCTTCAGCCCTTCGGTTGAATGGCTCATGAATATTTATTTGATGGAAACTTGTGGCATTAAGTGTATTCATGTGCTTATATCAAATATTACCCCAGGAAAACGTTACCTCAGGAAATCATTGTCATAGATACCGTACATTGTTTTCGGAAAAGGTAGAATAGTATTATTGTGTGAGCTATAGATAGCATAGTGCTGTCTTTTTTTTTGCTTTCTGATTTGCTTTCCTGATGATGAGGCTTATGCATTGTTTGTTGTCCAGGTTGGCTTTCTGAAGCAAGCTAAGTGACATCATGTTGCGCTCAACAATACAATCGATTCAGAAGAAAAAGTACCTGGCTCTCGTTTTGTACTTGTCTTAGTCACATGCATTTGCAACAGCAAAACTGTTTAGCATTGAGGCGCTGTTTTTCATGGGAGTGTTTATCTACCACATCTGCTGATCACCACTCAGATGTATTTAGAGCATTATTTCACAGAGTAAATTTTATTGATCTAGCATTCTATTTATTTTCTAATGTCGAATATAATCACTGAAGAGGTTGTTCCAGAACACTTATCCGCATGATTCCCTTATTGTTTTATTAGCGAGTGAATTATGGAGTTGTAAAAGACAGACAGGCGTGGATGCTGTGAAACCACAAACAATATATTTTGTCTGACACCATTTAGTCGGATGCGAACAAAAACAGGCGCGATTCTTTCATGCTTGATGCATTGTCGTCTTCTGGTAGGATTCTTTCGGTAGGTACTACCACATTACAGGGCCCCCCTTCTAGCGAGGAGGCTGCGAGTGTGAGAGCAGAAGCCAACTGTTGGCACCTGAGGCACGCTTGTGACCAAAGACGAACATTTACATTAATGCTCAGCCACTCACAACGAGAACTGATGAGCTGCTGTGTGGCACGATGCTGTGAGATGAATTTGGGGTCTCACAGCATCGACGTTTGTCCGCCTGCTACCGCAAAAATGTGACCTCGACTTCACTTGATTGCTCTTACTTCCTGGTTTGCGCTTGCCTCAGCCACTTCGATTTGCCTGCAGAGCCAGGAACTTGAGCACTGCAGTCTTTGTAGTTCTTCCCAAAGCCAGACAATCATGGCCTCTCATCAGGTACCGTCATCATCGCCACAACCCCCCGAGCCTGAGGTTTTCGCTCTGAAGCTTCCAGAGTTCTGGTCGTTAAGACTCAAAACCTTGGTTCATCGCGTCTGGGTCACCAATTCGTAGTAACACAAGCCAATGACAGATGTTAATGCTGTGAGCCCTCAGACAATATATTTTGTCTGAAGCCATTTCGTCGGACGCGAACAATAACAGGCATGACGATGTTGTGCTTGGTACATTATTGTCATCGTCTTCTGGTATAATTCTTCGGGTACGCTCTAGCATGCTAGAGAGGGATTCGCAATATATCGAAATATTCCTTCATAAAATCTTCACAATAGTTGTTCAGGTGCTTGAATGTGAGTGAACTTGCTTCTCCTGTGTACTTCTGAATGGGAAATTAGCTGCTTCATGGTGCTCCTAGATAGAAATTTTTGCTGCTCCAAAATAAAAATATTGCTGCTTAGAATCAGAACTGCTCGGTAGCGTGACTGTAAATCGGGAAGAATTAAAGGGGACAGAAAATAAATCTCCCTTCTTATCGTTGTCCTGTAGACACTTGGGTGCGAGTTGTGCGGGCTAGCCCTCCCAAGCATTGCATGCACACCCTACAAAGTGGATGAAGAAGTGCTTTCTGTGATATCTCAATTGATTGATGAGTTTTCGTCCTCTTTAATGCTTTCCAGTTCAGGTGAAATTTAAACAATGAGTCTTATGTCTGGCAGACAAAGGAGCCCCTCGAACAATTCCCCTTCTTTATGACCGGCAGTGTTCAAATAAGTTCCTCTCGGGCTAGTGTCTTTGGACAATTCTTTATGCAGCACTCTGAGTGATGGCTATGAGTCGGACTCCACACTGATCCGCAAAACTGGCAGCCGGATGAACCACCTGGACTCTCGTCAGCAGCGGGAGTGGTATAAGGCAGTACAGCGAGGCGAAGACATACCACTTGAAGGTCTGGGAAAACCAGCACCCCAGAAGCCACCAGGTACTATTTTGTCATGTTATCAGCAGGTAGTTTTTTTAAAGGGACACTAAAGTCAAATAACAATTTACGTCAGAGTGAAAGCTCTATGTATGACATCTAAAATGACAATATTATTAACAACAATGCCCTACTTACCGAAAAATTAAGGTAAATGCACAAGAACACAAGTGCCGCAGTCGGTCATTTTCAAAGTGATCCCGATAACATCAGACATATTGCCTATAATTAATCACTAGTAATCAATCTAACTGCACTAAATAAAGAACCTTTCATGCATTAAGAGACGCAATAAAATGCTCCTTGTTCGTTTCTGTTTGATTCATGAATAAAAGAAACGCCAGACGTTACTATGGGGAATGGCACGAGTGGTTCAAAAATTCAATTTTTGCGTGGTTACACGGCACAGGTGGTGCCATCTAGCAGGGCGCAGTCGAAACAAAAGTGTCTGCAATCTCGAAGCCAGTGGCGAGAAATTGATCAATGGCCGTTGTTGCTGGTGTGGCTCGCTGCTTTCGGTCTACTGCTACTAGCGCAGTAAAGCCGGGCAACATTGTGCACGGCAACAGTGACGTGAGACTGTCCGGTCGGTCCGCTTCTTGAGGCGGGTAATTTGAAGCGCGCTAACCCAATGCGGAGCAGTAAAACGTGCTTTTATTTCAAAATAGGCCCTTCCTTGGCACGAAAGTAGCACTATGAGGTTTCTGGACTGCCATTTCAACAATCAACGTCAACTTAATAGTTGGGCTTTAGTGTCCCTTTAATGCGCGGGTTTCCTCAGTTCTATGCAGCTAGATGGCAAGTAGTACTTAAAGGGGCCCTGCAACGCTTTTTTAAGTTGCCATAGAATTCATTCTCTAAAGGAGCTTATTGTTCACGAATCCAGCGCCATAAAAATATTTAGAGTACATCCAGTACAAGCAGAGTTTGAGATTTGCCAGACACTGGGATTGCATTCTCTCTTCGCTCGTCCCAACGAAAGCACTGAAAGCTAAACAAGCACGGGGAAAGCAAATATGTCATGTGCGCCTCGTGACCTTGAGCACTTCTTTTTTCCTTCGAATACGTGGCTTTTTTAGCGCGATAACGCATGCACGCATAGACAAGTTGCGGCCTCTCACAGTGGTTCCTATAATGACCAAGCGTGCCATGCTCAAATCAGCCAATGACTGATACAACGGCTGTGACAAGTGCTCTTTCATCTTGTTACGTCATTTTTCAAGAGGAGAGAAAGCAATTTTCAGCTGACTTTGAGAATTTATTGTAATTCCATGCCGTGTGCTGCACTATATTATTTGGCTCGCATGTTCTCCGGAGCCTCTACTACTGATAAGCAGCGTTTCCTTACTATGCTCAAAATGTTTTGTTAACCCTCTTCAAGTTTTGTATGTGCTGTATTTTTCTCCTGTGTGTTAAAGGACACTAAAGGCAAATCCCAATTTTTGTCAGAGTGAAAGCTCAATGTGTGACAGCATGTAGAACAGCGTTATTATCAACAGCACTGCCCTACTTACCGAAAAACTAAGGTTAATGTATCACATGATGTGCGCTATGAGTGGAACATTTGCGAAATGATCCCAATGACATGAGAGCATCTGATTACAATTAATTACTAGTAATCAAACTAGCTGTAATAAAAGGAAAAAACTTCTGTGCATAAAAAACAATAAAATACTGCTTGTTCATTTCAGTTTGATTTATAAAAAAAAGAACCACCTGGTGTTGCTATGGGGTATGGCGTGAGTGGTTCAAAAGTTTCGCTATCGGCTGCTTAGGCTGGATAGGTTGTGCCATCTAGCAGGGCCCAGTTAAACCAAGCAAGCAGAACCATGGCCTCTGAGATTGTAGAAAATTGTTCAATGGTGGTTGTTGCTACTCTGGCTCCGGCTACCCTCTCTCTGCTGCTGCTACCGGTGTCGGTGGTCATGCAGTAAAGCTGGGCAAAATTGGGCATGGCAACAGTGACTTCAGAAAGACTGCTTCAGGCGAGTGATTTGAAGGGTTGCTAACGCAGTGGGGACCCTTAAAACGTGATTTTATTCCAAAATAAGCACTTCCTTGGTACAAAAATAGTGCTACGAGGTTTGTGGACATTTCAACAATCAAGGTCGACGTAATATTTGTCTTTAGTGTCCCGTTAAGTGTGACTCTTGAAGTCTAAATGCCGTAGAAGGCACAACTCTTTTAGCTTTTCTCTTAGGCACGTAGTTTTGCTGAAATTCTCCACTAAGCGTAAAGTGAGGGTTATTTTCTATTTGAAAAAAATTTCGTTTTCACAATTATCTAGGTAATAGAGAAAATTTTGCTGACATAATTCAGAGATAAGGAAAGAGCTGCATTGTAAAAAACAGGAGTCGACAGTTCTGACAACATTATTCGCTTCTCTTCTCGAGGGCTTTGATTTCACCAAAGGTGGACCTCACTCATTGATGACACAGATTTGTGAGATAGGGCGAAACATGTTATTTTGAGTTAGATGGGCAAGTGTATGTTAGAACCAGCTTTAAAGTTTCAGTGTTTTAGCTCAGTGTTGATATAGAAAATGGTTGCTTGCTGTGTCTTTGCCATCTCCTGTATCTTATGTGCTTTGCTACAGTGTAAATAGTAAGAAAGAACTGCTGGGGAGTACCACATTTTATTTCTTTGGAAGAGCAAGAGCGTCTTTTTTTTTTATGTATAAAAAGTTGTGAAAATGAGCGATGTCATTTATTTAATGTGCAGAGCAGTGTATTTGTTATTTTAACCTTGTGGACCCACGGAATGTGGTCTGGGCTGCTGTCTCCTCTGACACTGGAATGAGTCTGATCAATAACATTGGGTGTATCGGTGTGACTAACTCACTAGGTGATACAAAAGTGGGCCCGTTTGCACTCCTCGACCCAGTAACACTCGCATGCCCAAGATATTGTAAAAGCAGAGTTACAAAATCATGGTGTAAATGTCACACTCGGTCAGCACATCTGTTTACTTGTGGCTCCGGTGCCTCTACGCTTTCATCTACAGCCCTGTGTCACATCTTGACGAGTGTGGGCTATATGTATGACCTACGCCTCTTAGAAAAATACTATGCCTGGGATGTCACCAGCTTTACTATTAGAGGAACGCTTCCACACATTTCGAGCATCATTCTTTAAGATACAGCACATTTTGCACTAATTTCTGCCACATCTCAGCACTAATTAAGTTGTTTTTGCCTGGTTTGGGGCTGCATGCTTTACTTGAAATTGTGAGGCTGCTTATCTGGGACTGTGCCCACCTGTTGCATGCCTCGCTCGCACCGATAATATACAGTGCTGGATTCAGCACACGCGCTTCGCCCGGCATTGGTTTTGCCAGATGAGCGTAGCCCAACACACACTTCAGGCACTTGTTTGACAAAGTAGCACGCGTTTGTGCGGCCAGGGTATTGCGACACTTTTTCCATAATTCTCGTGGCAGTGCTTTTTGGCACGAGTGAAAAAATGTTGCTGTGGCTGCTCATGTTGTGTGTGCTTTTGTTCTCCTTGTGCTTTGTTAAGCTTTGGCATGGATTTTTGCCTCACTGTCTGCAGGAGTGAAAAAACACCATCGTGTTCTCCAGAGATGAATAATATGCTCGTGTCACTTTTGCGCTGTATTTAACTTTGAGCATTTGAATGCCTCTCAAATGAGCTTCCTCATTGCCTGGTGTTGCTCCATTGCAACCGTGTTCTTGCTTCATCTACTTGTGGCTCTGGTGCCTCTACGCTTTCATTTACAGCTCTGTGTCACATCTTAATGAGTGTGTGCTATATGTATGGCCAACGCCTCTTAGAAAAATACTATGCCTGGGATGTCACCAGCTTTGCCATTAGAGGAACGCTGCCACACGTTTCGAGCGGTCGCTGTGTGGTGTAGCTAGCGACTGTACCGCCAAAGCCGGTGAGAGTGACGATGTCGGCAACATTTTGTCGATGGAGTGGCGCAGCTGGCTGTTTCATGCAGGCGTTTGGTTGGGCCTTTGTGAAGCGAGTTGGAGGAGCGCCACTTCAACAAACGCCACTCATTTCTTTGCAGAAAATTATTTGACTAGAATTTAAGAGCTTTTTGGACACTGATTCTCTTTCAAGCAGCTTTGCGGTGGTGTTTCTTTTGGTTACTCCTTACTGCACACTAAAGCTTTATGTGTTAACGCCCAGTTCTCTGTCGAAATCACTTTGAGTCACTGGTCACGCAAACTGCTCTTCAAAGGTATGTGCAACTCTTTCGCTGAGGCTCGCCACAAATTTGTATTTCTAGACAAGATGAACACACGGCTCAAGCACAAATAACTTTTGCCATGAACGAGTGGAATCTAGCAAGAAAGGCTTTCAAAGAACGGCCATTCCAGTTTTTACCTCATGCATCTATTTCTCTTGATGCCTGTTTATTGGCGCAGCATCATTTTCAACTCGTTTACGGCATCGTTTCACTAGCGCATTTGAGATGCATTTTGTTGCATTCTAGCTTGATCAACTCCTCCGTTGGTTACAACAACGCTGATATTTTTCGCGCCGATGCACATCGCGTCATCTGCTTGAATTACCGACGACATCACTGTAGGTTGCAAGGAGTCGCCGCGAGAGGCTCTAGCTACTGTACCAGGTGAAAAAGAGGGAAATGAAAAAAATCTGGGCAGAGCTTTTGCGGCTCATGTCACAGGCATAGTCTTTTCTAGGAGGCATCGGTATGACATAGATTAGATGACAGGAAGGGAGCTGTCTTGAGTGACCACCCAACCAATGTACTAGACGCCTTGATTGTGGTCCATAATAATAAGGGTTGCAGCGCAAACACGAAAGTGCTGGAAGAAAAGCATATGGAAGGCAAAAAAAGAATGACACGAGTTCCTCTTTGTCATTCCCGTTTGCCTTTCATTCCTAGCTTTCACGAGCTCCTATTTGTAATTCCTCTTTGCCTTCCGTTCTTAGCCTTCTGTACGCTTTTCTTCCAGAACTTTCGTGCTTGTGCTGCAACTTCTATTAATATCGAATTGAACCAACCCA